AAAAAAAAAAAGAAACGCGACTCACTCGGTCGTCGAAACGACAAACAAATAGTTCCCGCCGAACAATAAACGCAGGTTTTAACAGAGGGCCTCGAGGATCCCGCGGTCCTCTCACTGGGCAGACAGGGGCGAAAACGCCACCCCCGCAACGAGCGCAGCACCCTCGAGGCGTCATCGACCCGCTGAGAAACTAGCCGGCAGGATACGAATGGTCGCACAGTACGTTCGCGAAAGTGGGACAGCTGCCAATGAAAGATACAACGCCTCGGAGTGTGGACGACCAAAAGCTTCGCCGAAAACCGGGACCGGTTCGGAGCGAGTCGGAAACTGCGAAACATTCTAGCGAAATCATCGGACAAGGAGCCTCGAATTTTTATTTAGATCTTTTTCTTTTTATTTAAATTTTTATCTATATAGAACCGATTGGGTCATGTTTTTTCATTTTGAGCACCTTGTCCCGCGATTTATTTCAACGGTTAACATGTTTTTAGCTTCTTTGTTTATAATATTGGGTTTGTTCCGAGATAAATTGCGTTTTGGAACGGCCAGAGAAAATCAGACATTTCGAATTTGTATCGTGCTATGCAACGTACCATTTGAAATGGTACCGTTGGTATTTGAAATTGTTTTTATTGTTTAACTTGTCTGTTGATCTTGGAGGTACAACATCGATTTTAAATTAATTCGTAGAGAAAGCAACGGTTCGATTGAACGATTAATTTAATTTGATTTAATCTGATTTAATTGAATTTAGAATATCTTTGTTCTAAAAGACCTGATCTAAATTCTATAAATTTTAGCCTTGAAATGGTGTACCGTTTTCACTGGCAACGAAGCGTCTGTCGAAATAATTTCATTCGTACAAATTGTAATTGCAACTAAAAGAAAGAAGTTAAAAGGAACTTCGTATTGAACGCGAGATCTATCACTTGAAGAGTACACCATGTTCCAAATCCGCAATTTATTCGCACACCCAATAGTCTCATGCAAAAAGTGAAACTTTAAATTTATTGTGTACACTTAATGCTTAAAAATCGTTAACAGGTTTCGATTTAAAAGCAGTAACCGAGTATTTTATAGATTCGTTAACAGTCCGAATTATTTTTGAACAAAGCTTTCGTAGACTTCCCTATAATAATAGGGAACGGAGTCGATCCGAGGAATATGGCCGAAACGACATCCTCGATAACCGATCGCTCGTGGCCGATCCCGTGTTCCCGAGTGCAACACATGCGGACCGATCCCAGGGTTCTCTAGCACGCAGAATAGAAAGAACGCACGATAGGAATAATATATTACAAGCAGACGCGCCGATTCTCTATCTCGCCCTTCGAATCACGAGCGGCGATCGGTGTCCGCGTACCACGGTCTCGGTTTTATGGCACGATGGACACGGAGGGTCTGCTGGTCGATCGTTGACGAGTAGAAAAATGGTCGGACCGTGGTACGAGGGTGAATCGCGCCGTCCCCCGTGCTCGTAACGCTTAAATATCTGTACATGTGCACCGCTCGATCGAAGAAAGAATTTCTCTGTTCTAACGAATTTCTGGATCGCGCCCTCGGGTCGCGTGACCCGATCAAGGGCGGCGGATCAGACGTTTCATATACGATATGAAAGATAATGCGAAAGACAATAATGTAGGATAATACGAGAGATGACGCGCGACAGATACCGGCGAAAATAAAGAGAAGATCGATGCTTTCTTCGATCGAACGCGCAACCAGCACCGCAACTGAGAAGACAAACGCTCGTCGCTACCCTCCCTCTCCTCTCTTCGCATTTAACAAAAAACAAATATACGAAAAAATATGAAAAATAAACAGTTCATAAATAAACAATCAGATTTACAGGTAAAAAAAGAACATATAACAAATTCCATCGTTTTTTTTTTCCTTTTCGCAGACTCCGTGAGACGGATTCGGTTGATCTAACACGCCTATTTAAATAACGCTTTTCTCCTGTCTTCCCGGCGACACCTAATCGGGGCACGCAGCTATCCAAGAATAGAAATTCACTTTTTCACATCTCCGATCGATTTGCCACCTTACGCATGTGTAAATGTTGTGTATGTATGTAGTACGGCGCGATTCATGCTTCATTCTCTCGTTTTCGAACGTGGTTTTCTCACTCGCACGATTTCGATATAGCTTCTCTCTCTCTCTCTCTCTCTCTCTCTCTCTCTCTCTCTCT